ATGAAGTAATTGTGCAGTAGTATAGATTTGAGCGGGTTTATGAAACGTGTGCACGCAGATGCGTGGCCCCGGTTCAGCCCTGTGAGGCCGAGTGGTGATGCAGTGCAGCTATTTGAGCTGGTCGCTCAGTGAAATGTTAATCCTGGGCTTTAAATAAATGGGAGGCTCTGTGAATAGACTGCATTTACAGCACCTGGTTTATATTTACTTTTACATTAAAGCCGCACTAACATAAAGCAGACAACCTTGTAGCACAACTAAGGTTATGGAGTTGTGAATTTATGGTAATTAACAGGGTTTTGGACTCTCGTAGTAGAAGCAGTATTTCTGTCTGTGTAGCAGTGACACCTCTTATGTAAAGTACTCTATATGGTGCTTCGACTGTTTGGACATGACTACAGTGTCAGGCAAATTTAGGTAGTCTATTGAGTGCTATTTGATCTGTAAATAAAACCCTGTAATATTTTTTTTAAAATGTACAAAACTTAGATATATTCAGTATCTTCCGGTTACTGCGTGTATGTAAAAAGTACAGATATGTCAAGTCATATGTTTTTTTAATGACAAAATTGTAGTATGATAATGAACACTCAGTAAAATTAGAGTTTCAAACCCCTGTAAAAAAACAACTATCAATTACTGGTTGATTATTTATTCTTACAAGAATCAATAGTGTGAATTCTGATTGAAGAAAAATGCAAAATCTCAAAATGGAAACTTTATTGAAACTCAAACTATTCTTGTGTTATAGGAACAACAGTAATGGTGACGCCAATGTGTGGCTGAAAAGGAGATTTTTAAAAAAAAAAAATTTGATCTTAAACCTGACTCTGAATTCAAATTTTAATGTTGTAAATTAGTTCAATTTAAATACATAAAATAATTTAAATTTTCTACGGGCTTCCCTTTAATCGAGTTTCAGAATCAGGAGGACAACATCCATACCTAAATGATGCCAGGCTGTATTATAAATATACAGGTGTAACTTTAGTAATAAGGCCAGCAACTTCCTGTTGAGCCAGAAACAGGAAGTTAGCATACTGTCAATTATGCAAAGAAAAAAAAACAAACAAGTGAAACCGAAAAGACTATCTTATTGACACTAAGGTAATATTTAAAAAAAATGTTTGTTTTTTTGCTAAGCCCCACCGTATGGAGACTAATGGGATGGCCAGGCCCACTCCAACTTCAAAACTCACTGAACTTTATTTCTGATTCAAAACTAGTGCTGTTTATTGAGTAAAATTGATGAGATAACATCTTTAACTATCTCAACAAAATGGCTGCAAAAATTCCCTGAGGGAAGAAACGTAAAACCTCAACCCGCTGAACCTTCAACCACATCCCAGTGGCCACTGCGGGCTTTTGCCTTGTCCTGCAGGTGTTAACCAATCAGAGTTAAGTTAGTTCGTTTTCATTTTCTACGGCCCTTTCTAAAAGCTTCGAGACCCTCCAAGGTTGTGCGACCCCCAGCTTCGGAACCACACAAACCTGTTTCTGACACATGACAAATGTAAATATTAAATTTAGTTTAGAGTTTCAGTGCCCTGCAGCCTGCGTGTTGTTGGGAGGCTGGACAGCATCCCATCTTCGATTACCATCAAATATTCCACTGTTGTGCATCAACATCAGGCTCCTGCACTGAAACAGATTTCATGTGCAGCTCGAATGTCTCGGATGTTGAATATTTGACAGACTCTGGGTCAGGTTGGTGCCAGAACTGGCTTCACGGTAACCATTGGCACGGAAACCACCATAACCACGAATAAAACGTAAATATATATTAACTATATATATTGTTAGTGACATGGAAACATTCCAAACAATCACAGAAGTATGCAGTGACCTCATCAGACTGAAGACAGTTGCTGCACCTTCATCCGAAGAAACAGAGCAAGTTTAATTCTAATATCAATACCATCTGATCTGATTTTTTTAAAAACAACAATAACGTGTGAATATATTACAGTATGACTTCTTAGCTTCTTTTAAAAGACTGGTGCTAATTTAAACCCCAGCTGACAGAGGCTCCTCCAGGCACTGCTTGATAAATCCACATGTAAAGTGAGACTTTTGTTCAGTTAAATGGTCAACTCACCAAAGAGTTAAATTAAGAACTAAATCCGTTTTGGTTTTTTTTTTTGCCACCCAACAATCGTCAAACCATCATAGATTCCCCAGTCCCAAACCAGAAGTGGTTTCCAGCTCTGCACACTCAGAACTGCTTTTCAACAAATACCTCAACATCATCTGCATACAGTTAGACTACACTCCAATCTCAGGTTGTTAGAAAAACTTGGTGACTCACCTTTACTGGCCATTTTGAATGTGGGTCCAACGTTTCCCCTTGACGCCCTCTGTCCCTGTCCCTGTCCCTGTCTCTGTCACACTCCTGCAGTGATCCCTGTCCCCTCGGCTGTTTTTGGCCACCCTCTGCTCATTCAGCAGTCCAAAGTCCTCACAGCCCAAAAATAATCTCCTTTGCACCGCCCTCCACTCTTTAAGAGTCAAATGGCTTCGACACAGAGACAGAGATGATTCACCGCGATAAAGGAATGTTAAAAACACTAGAAGTACAATTATATATATCCATTCTGAAGGATGGAACTAGGGCATATCTTTGTTGTTTCACCCAAATTATAACATGTGAAATATGAGAACTACGATCAGGTTTCTGTTATGTCATAAAGTCAAGCCTTTTGGTGCCTCGAGTACTGACAAGAACACAAGCTACGTATTCAGATCTTTGTGGCAATAAGCAAAGCATCAAATAAAAAAGATGAATTCAACTAAAAAATCTATTTAATTTAATTATTGTCCCTGTACACAGTACAAAGAGGTATCAAAGACAAAAACAGATTTGTGTGATTTACAGTATTTGACCTATTGACCTCAGCTAAAATAAGTGGTTCAAAATTATCTGCTAACATTTGTATTCACAGGCGGCATTTTTATGCAAAAATAATTCTCTACCCGACAAAACATTTGGTATATTAATTACTTTAATTAATTGTAATAATGTAAATTAAACCATGAAATTAAAACCAGTTTTAATGCCCTCTGAAAGATACACCCTGTCATCAGCCTAAACACACATTATTCATCTACAGAGGGTTGACTCCCTTCATTACCTCTATCTACACCCCCCTCACACACACACACACACACACACATCAACTAAAATAGGAGCCAGCGCCGCTCTGAGTGACTTGAAGAGACTTTATCTCTGTCTCACTCAACAAAGTCCATCAAACCTGTGTATAAACACACTCTCACACACAGCCAGACACACACACAGACACACACCACATTTAGCTCAACATTCCTGAATTTAAAAATAGAGAGGGGGGGGGGGGGGGGGAGACAGAGAGAGAGACCACCAGGACTTAACCAACAACTGATTGCAGCTTTTACAAAACACAAAATGATGAAAAAATTCAGTGTAGAGAAATGAATTTAAAAAACAGCTTAAAAAACGACCAGGTCAGGAAACGAAGGATTCTCCGCAGCAGGATGGGAGAAAAATCCCAGGTTAATCCTTTGTATGGGTTTATCTAAACAGGCCTCGGGACAGGGGTTGGTTTATCTGTCGGCCTGTGAGGCTGCTGAAATGTGATATTGTTTTTTATTCAAACTATTGATCCCAGAGCTGAGTGAGAGAGGATGGGTCTGAACGGCAACAAGATGGAGGCAAAGATGGAAGGAGAGAGGCGAGGTAAAGGGTGAAGAGAGTAAAAAGGAAAAAGAAAAACATGTTTAGTGTAATGTACCTGCTATTCCTGTGGAGACGTCTGACAGGTTAAGTGCTGAAAACCACTTATCGCTGTCCCGCTGTTCCTGAGACTTTGGGTGGAGGTCAGCCGATGAGGACGATGCTGAGACCGAGGGTCGCACAGATGTGAGCAGCGTGACAGAGATGGCTTCCCTGACAACTGGAGACTCTGGCTCTGAGGTCAGGGGAGCTGCCAGGAAGTAGAGAAAATGATATCAGCATCACAATGTTACTACCATGATGTCATCAGTGTAATACCTGCACTGTCATACAGTACCTGAAATAAATAGTTTAAGAATGTTTGTACTGCAATTAAAAATAAAATCCGTGTGTGTGTGAAAGTAAACCAAGACCCCGACTTTGAAAAAGTTCTGCAGCTCTCACCTTCCATCAGCTGCACTGATCTGGGCTCCTGAGCCGACAGGGATGGAGATGGAGGAGGGACCGTCTGGATCATCCAGTGCTCGGTCTCCTGTCTTTGGGTTGCTGCATCTCCACCCTGAGTGTCCGAGTCCAGACTTGGGGAAAAAGGCTGAACTGTAATAGTCTGCGTTTGACCGTCCTGGTCTTCATCAGTCCATCCAATGTCAGAAGCAGAAGTCCTCTCCTCCTCCTCCTCCTGCTCCTGCTCTCTCCTTTCTGTCCCTCCACTGTCCTCCTCCTGAATGAGGAAAGCCTGAGGATCCCAGTCCACGTCAGGAGAGTCCAACGGTGTTTCCAGGGTGTCTGCGTGGATCAGCAGAGTACGACCGGCCCGAGAGCCGCCTCTGCGACGGTCGCGCAGGTGACGAGAGGCCCCCACCGCCTCGGCCTCAGCGATGGCGAAGTAAGAGAAAGTCAGCTCGTAGGAATTCTGACGTGGAGTGCCCCAGATGGACGGAGACGAAGCCAGTGTCTCATCGTCATCTCCACCCTCATCGTCATCAGACCACTCCCTGGCTGTTTGCAGCTCGAACATCTCTGACTCCTCGTTTCCTCCTGAATGAACATAAAACAGAGACAAACAGTCCAGTGGTTGCAAAAATAATGTTGCCTGAATAATAAACGCTGTGTAGACAAAAAAACAGACATAAAATATTCCTTTAAAGGAAAGCTGTCAGGTAATATATATATATATATATCTTACTATATTTAGTATATAGTAACGAATATATCTCGTTATATATATATATATTAAAGTCAGTTTGTTGAATAGCCTAAAAACTAGCTTAAAAGTTTACTGTCACAAAAGTATTTGTAATGAAATATAGGGATCTTCTGGTTTACTGAAAATGTACTTTTTCTCACTGTGAAATATTGGCCTGTTTAGTTGAACACAATGCTGACATGCTCCCAGAAATTGAAGAAAGACAAACAAAAGACCTTCAACAGAGTTGTCAAATGTTAGGCCTGTCACTGAAGCATAGACGAGTGATGACAAATAGTTTTCAGTAAATAAGTAATTATTTTGCCTAGTTTTCCACGGTGCAGCTGACAATCTCTCACGGCACGTTAATGTGCTGCAGCACAACAGTTGGAAATCACTGGTTTAACCAATGGACAATTATAGTTAAATTGAGTTTGGTTAATGAAGAGCAGTACTCAATAATGCTCTTCTTTGACCTTATAATCTAGTCAGAAATACCTATCTGAATGCTAACATTTTTTTTTTTTATGTGAATAGTGTTTCGTACCATCAGTGCAGGGAGGTGTTGAGTCTGGAGTGGAAGCCACAGAGCCATATTCCTCTGGAAGAAAACAGTCAACATTTACATGATCCTTTTAAACAATGGAGATACACAGATAAACAACTTTCTTATTCTTAATATCGTGCTAAAATTGACATGTTACAAAAACATTCAATAACACTAAAGATTCTGCTAAAGGAATTGTATGGTATGATACTATAAACTTATTAAACAGTCTAAAGTATAAGTAGGTAATTGTTTTTAATTTAGCATTTATTAAGTTTAAAAAAATTGCGAAACACTAACTCACATGTTAAAATAAATTATTTTACTGAGAGGTAGAAAATATTAAATACATGAAAAGTGATGATATTACGCATAAATAAATGACATCAGTTATACTCTACTGCCCTATAGCATCATGGGAATCTGTCCAGTTAGCGATGTGTAGGTCAGTGATAACCTGGCAGCAGCGAAGGCCTTCATTACATTAGTGAGCACAGAGCGATACATCAAAACACAGAGAGCTACGGCTCAAATGCAGCACGTCCGTCTGCTGCATAACACCATAAAGGTAAACACGGGGCAGGCTGTAACGACACACGGTGGACGTTGAGGGAGCATGAGCTACGTACACAGTTAAAAAGCAAAATACAACAGCTGCACTCGGACTGATATAACCTTGTGGCACACACAGCCACACAAAGATCAGCGACTGAACCAGAGACAGTCAGATCCGCTCGGGCTCTGCACCCGTCCTCTCAGCTGTGTGTTTAGAAGAAGCCAGCAGGAGGACAGAGACGAGCTAACGTGATGATGATAGTTAGCAAGAGAAGACCCAGACACACACACACCACCGAGCATAGGCAGAAGTAAAAAACCAGACTCACGGCAGTGGGAGAATCCTAAAACCTGGCCCATGCTCCATCAAGGCATCTCTGGGCCCATCCAGTCTGGAAGCCCCCCCTCCCAGTCCCTGTTACGGATGCCGGCAATCACACCCTGTAGCTCTACATCCTCCCTCCCTCCTCTTCTCTCAGCGTCTTGGTCATCTGGTGTGCAGCTTCCGCTCTGTCACTCAGCAGTCCCGCCCTGCCTCCTTACAGCATCCTCCTCCGTCCCTCCTATTCCTCCTCCTCCTCCCTCCTCAGGGTCTCTAGTATTGTTATGACTGCAGCTGTGGCACCACTACAGCTAAAGGAGGGAGAGGGAGAGAGAGGGTGAGAGACATGAGTGTGTGTGACAGCGACCGGCTGATCAGTCGTCCGGATCTCTGAATTCATCTTTGTTCAGCTCCATCTCCATCATCATGTGACTTCAACTGGATGCTGCAAAAGCAGGCTGCAAGTAATGCAGTCAGTGATTAATAATGTATGATGAGAGCACACGCAACACACACACACACACACGTGATCGATTTTTAGAAGAACGGGTTGAGTAATGATTGATAGTCAGAATGGTTATAATATTAATTACAGTACTAGTATTACATACCAGTATACGAACATCTTGGATTACTGTAGTATAAGTCGTTTTTTTTTTGTTGTTGTTAGTGTTGTTGTTCTCTAAATATTTATTTCTAGGCCAGGTCTTATTTAAAGAAATCTCACCTATGAACACAGCTCATCTCTAGGTAAACATTAAACATTGTTTTTTTTCATTATGTCACACATGGACGGTTAGCTGGTATTATATGAATTAATTTAAAAAAAAGTTCTTTCATTTATATTAAGTTCTTTTTTTTATTTAACTAAAACAACTTCTCCAAAACTCCATCCATCAGCTGATCAACCTCTAAAGTATCACTTTCACAAGTTTTTTCTCTGAACACAAAGCTGCATAAAGCATTTTGCATCAAGAACGTCCTGCAATGACGCACTGTCCGTGTCATCCTTTCCTCCCGAGTGCAGTCTTTAGGGACAAATGAGGGCAAATAAAAAGGCTCAAATTATGTCAGAAGGCACTAACTGGCTTAACCTCACTTTTGGCTGGTTGTAAACTAAGTAAACACACACACACAAACACACAGACCTTAGTATAGACTAATCTCAGCGATGTCTGCCTTTAAAGCAGGTCAGTGGCTCCAAATATACTGCAGTTAACAGGATGAGGACGGAAATGTCGTGTGGGAGCAGAAGTCCACTAAAGGCAAGGACCAATTTGAGTGGGTGGGTCAACACGGGGGATGACTTTAACAACACAGATCTACCAAGATGAACTCTTATAGATATTTAACTTAGTGCAATGCAAGGCCATTCAGACATATTTTCTCTCTCTTTCCATCTCAGTTAATATTTGTAATGTATTGTCATCAGCCAACAATAGATACTCGTAAAATATCAGTCTTTTTCTAAACCAGTTCACCACTAGATGGTGCTAAATCTGACACAGAATGACCAATTCTATTGCAATACACAAGTGCCTTGACCTCATTTTGAGTTTTTCTGAGGCAAATTCAACGTCAATAAATAAAACATAATTATTATATCATACATATTATAATTATATTATGTATAACTATGCATCTGTTTATATTGTGTTGTATATATATATATATAGACTGTAGTCTGACATGGGTGCATGCAGACATGGGTCACCTGGGAGACTAAGAGCCAGGTGATTATCTGAAGGAGTCAGTGGGTGGGAGCTGAGCAGAGAGGGATAAATCACCAAGAATAGACTGGCCAATGGGAGAACAGGACACATATAGAAGGGTTACAGCAGAAAGGGAGAGAGACCCGTTAACGCGGGCATACAGTAGAAGGAGAGACATCATTGTTAAAACTGAAAGAAGGGGTTTTTCAAGTAAATGAAAATAATGTTTCTTATTATTTAAAACTGGTTAATTTTTTTTCTTAATACTGTGATCAATTTTTTTTTTTTTACTTCCTGTTTGAAGTACCTGCAGCTGCTGAACTGGACCTGCTGAGGAAATCACAGGGCCGTCAGAAGGTCACCAGGAAAAGACGAGCCGCCGTCAGGTCGAGCAGGAAGCTCGAGCGCAGACTCCGCAGGGTGATGAGGACGGCCAGGAGGGCCAGCAACGTGGAGGTGCCCTCCTTCCTCCGAAACCTGGTCAAAGAGACGGAGAAGATGGTCACATTCTTCTTCAAGGGAGGCTCCAAGGAGGCAGGATCTGTAGAGGAGGACATTTTTGATGAGGACGACATGATGCCCAGCCCGTACCTGGACCGTCCCATCCTGGAGAAGTACATTTCAGAGGGAGGATCTCCACTGGGAGTGAACTACGCCACAGCCAGCATGCAGGGCTGGAGGGCTCAGATGGAGGATGCCCACACCTGCATGCCTCAGCTGAGGGGAGAGCTGGCAGAGTGGGGGTACTTTGCTGTTTTTGACGGACATGCTGGGACTACAGTTGCACAGTACTGCTCCAGAAATCTGCTGGAACACATCCTAGCCACAGGTACACACATTATATGTATAGTTCATCATTTTGTGTAAACAGTTTATACTTGAAAGTCACAAAAAAAACAATTCACGTCAATGAAGTTGGACTTCAGCAGCGACTGCCAAAAAGTGTGGTTCCATTAACCTAGCCCTATGGAAGACAGTTTACATGAAAACAAACTGGAGCATTTTCTCCTCTGGTTCATGTCAGCACTGCACCAATCGTAGCCCCTCCCCAAAATGTTCTGATTGGTTTAGACAAGGTATGGCACTAGTCCTAGGCCAGCACTGATCAACACCCCATTTAATAATTAGTGACCAATAGAGTATCTGCATACCAAGCCAGTAATCAGGTGACTTATCAAAATAGTTATTATTAAAAAATTTGGTTAATTAACTACCTAAAAACTGACTAATAAGAACGACATAAAGAAAATATGAGTTGTCCCTGTGCCAGCATGGAATGCAAATTTGTAAAACTTTTATCCGTAGTTCATGGTATAGAGATCAAAAGATCATTTTGTTTTTCAAAAGGACGTTGGTTTGAATCCCAGCCCAGCGGGTGTGGTCTGCTGAGCAAGCAACCTCTCCCCCATTCCCACAAATAAAGCCTCTTCTTCCTCATAATATTGACAAATACAATTCCTCTTCACTTCAATTAAGAAGTAATAATTCACAATGTCAACCGTAACTGGCTAGAGCGCCCCCCATAGGGCCTTTAACACCAACGAGCAGCCTGAACAAATACTATATAGTTTTAAATATTGGTGAAAACTGAAGTTGATTAATTTTCCACAGGTGGAATTAGGGCGAGTGAAGAGCCCGAGCAGGTGAAGGAGGGCATCCACACGGGCTTCCTGGACATCGACCGCCACATGCACAAACTGGCTCGACAGGAGAACTGGGACAGGAGTGGCTCCACGGCAGCGGCCGTCATGATTTCCCCACGGTACATTTACTTCATCAACTGCGGAGACTCACGCACCCTACTGTGTCGCGACGGACAGGTGGTCTTCTACACGGAGGACCACAAGCCCATCAACCCGAGAGAAAAGGAGCGCATACAGAACGCCGGCGGCTCTGTGACCCTGCAGAGGGTCAACGGCTCGCTGGCCGTTTCCAGGGCGCTGGGGGACTTTGATTTCAAGGAGGTGGACTGGAGGCCGCAGACGGAGCAGCTGGTGTCTCCAGAGCCGGAGGTGTATGAGATGGAGAGGACGCCTCAAGACGAGTTCCTCATCCTGGCCTGTGATGGAGTGTGGGACGCGGTTAGCAACGAGGAGCTGTGCGCATTTGTGCGCAACCGTCTGGAGGTGTGTGATGACCTGAGGGAGATCTGCTGTCAGGTCATCGACCTCTGCCTCTACAAGGTGAGACGACAGGACACAAATGTCAACGTCAAATCAGAAAAACCTGTCTACACAGAGGGAGCTCTCCACAGGTTCACAAGGTGTGAATAACACTACCTGTTATAGTGTAGTTTGATACATCATCAGCTGTCAGTGGGAAGGCCCACGTACATTATTATTAGAGTAACACCCGTTATAAAAGTACATAACACCAACCATTAAAAGTACTAATCGTACATGATACCTTAAAAATGGGTTGGCTGTGGCGCGGCGGTAGGATTTCTGCCTCCGATGCAGTATTTCTGTGTTTCTGACACACATTCTGCCTGAGGAGCCCTTCCTTCACAGAACACATAATTTATTTAGGAAGAATACGTAAAGTAAAAATTCACAAACAGACAAATTCCTGCACTTTCTGCTTTTAGTATTGCATACAAATACATTTCAGAATTTTAACACAGAAGATCTGTGTATATTGCAGTACAAAATATGCATGTGTCCCTGAATCAATTGCGAACTACACCCTCAAATAAATCCACCAATCACGTGGCTGTATTGTTTGGTGCAGCAGCATCTAGATACAGTCTCAGGTCAGTTTCCAAACTCAGAACCTGGTTCTTATCCAGCTGACTGAGACGGAGACGTTACAGCAGGTGGATTTATGAATGGCAGCTTTTATACCAAGAACAAAGACCAGTCCAGGCTTTGAGTCTTTGTGACGCAGTTACACAACAAGACCTCTCCCGTCTCCTTAATGCTTGTTAGGGGCTGAGGCTCTATAAATAGCGGGGACACCGGAGAGCAGAGAGGTGAGGCTACTCATGGCTGGGATTAGGACTGAATGTGAACTCAACACACACACGCACGCACAGGCTCAGTGGCGTCACACTTGCTGCGATGAAAGGCTATTTATTTCATCTGAAACACCTGAAGTTTACCTGCTGTAAGACTCCGTGTTCCTGTCAGTGATAAGCCTCTCTATTTGCATCGCTGATGTACCAGATATTTCATTCTCTGGGATACACAGATTTGTCACAAGAGATTTTTACAGGTTTTTACACCTCCTGAAACATATCTCCGCCAGACACATCTCAACTAGTGGTCAATCACCGACAGCCTTCTGATATAACAACATGGCTGCCTGCCTTAGTATTGTGCAGATCATTACTATTCTATTCCACTGTGAACCCCCCCCCCATGCCCAATTAGTTTGCCCATTTTTTTGCTAATTAGATTGCTAATTTTTGTTTTAATTTAAAATATCCTGGCTAGCTTTAAAACAGGCACTCCAAATTCCTGGTTCAGGGGGCCATTTGGGCCACAAACAACACAAATCTGGCCCGGGACTGGATGTCTAAATTAAATTTTGTCCTTTTTAAGTTATTTTTAAAATTATTTGCAATAATAAGAATGCTTTTTTTGTATTGAATATCAAACACTGACGCGTCCCTCCAATTAATTGTCAAGAGGAAGTGCAAAGGAACATAATAGTATTTACATCTTGTGACTCCTTAAAAATGACTAATATAATATTTTAATATTTGATATTAAATATTATTAATATTGTATTATTATTATTGAACTGAAATTGAGCTTCTTTAAGTTTCAGAAACGATATAGAAAATATTTTAAATATAGTTGAATTAAATGAGCTGTTCGTTGCCTGTCAGATCACCGGAAAAGATATAAAAAACAAAAATCGTGACATGACAAATATCATGACAAATCATGACAAATAACACATTTCTTGTCAAAACATGTAGCACATGTTTTCTTGTACTATGTTTCCCCCCTCAGGGTAGCTTGGACAACATCAGCATCATTATTATCTGTTTCCCTGGCGCCCCCCAGCTGTCACAAGAGGCCCTGCAGCAGGAGGCAGCACTGGAGAGGCAGATTGATATTAAAGTGGAAGGTGATTCAACACTTATCACTACAACAATGAAATGAGATCCTAAAACTGATTAAAACAATTCTACATTAATAATGTTTTTTGTATACACATATCTAATGACAGAAATTATCCAGATGATGAGATACAAAGACGAGGAGCCGGACCTTCTGTATGTCATCAAATGTCTTGCTGCAGAAGGCATGCCCGGACTTCCACCAGGAGGGGGCATCACAAGCAAGTGAGTATGAAACATGTATCTTCTTATTTAGGTTTTAACGGAAATTGTATATATATTTTTTTAAATGTAATAAAAAAACCAACTAAATCTATATTTACAGACGAGACTGTATCATAGCGTCATACCAGAAACACGTCCTGACTCCTAGACCTCAGGAGCCTATGGTAAGACACACACAGTACTTACTTAGTATTATTTAATATCTGATGGACTAAAAGGTTCAGGCCTTGTCCTGTGTGTCCTGTGGAACTGTTGGAAATGCACCAATGAATGTAGGCCAAAAAATGTGGAGATTAAAACTCTCTGAGATTATTAGTTATTTTATTTATTTAAGATATAAATCTGGCTACAAAGTCACTTTTTGATGACGGCAAGTTTTACGGTCTCTTTTTTCCTATCTTTTTTAGGTCATTGAAGAATTGATGACCGACTTTACCTGAAGCCATTTCATCATCAAGATCTGCTACATTTGTTCTATAGCATTTACTTGGACTTTTCGGTTTGTGGTCATTTAAATTAAATCAAACCCTTAAAAAAACTGATCTGATTTATTTAGTGTACAAATGTCACATCAATAAAAGATAAGATAAAAATAATACTTAGACAGATGGATAGATTATTAATTATTACTAATTATTAATCTATAAATTCTGTAAGACAGAATGTTCAGAAAATGTTGCAGTTAAACACATGTTACTGTGCAAGATTATTCCACCCACTGCAATGAAATCGAGTTGAAGAGTTTTCTTGACACGTGGACTACGTGCGTATCCATGTCTTTTCGTGGAACACAGTATCTCACAGTGTGAGTAAATACTTTACACAGTACTGCCAAGGAGCAGAGGTGAAATGGACTATAATCACATGTTCAAAGTATAATTATAGAACACGGAAGGGGGAAGGAGGCGTGGCACAGAGACACACAATAGTAAAAATGAAGCAGGACTGGGAGGAGATGATAGAGGGGCAGGGGCATTGCAGGGGGTGAAAGGAATTTCTTCCATGAATTAGCACACACGCCTCAAACACACTGCTCTTTATGTCACTGTAGAGCAGGGGTGTCAAACTCATTTTCACCGGGGGCCACATCAGCAGTACAGTTCCTCTTAGGTCACCTATTATTTATTCATTATACAAATATTGGTCATTGCTGTGTAATAATAATAAAAAATTCTTAGGTCAAGCAACTCTGCTGCATGGACTTTACTGAATATTTTCTAAGTTCCTGCGGACCACACAAAATGGCTTGGCGGGCCGCATTTGGCCCCCAGGCCTTGAGTTTGACACGTATGCTGTAGAGGGAACGTGTGATGTGCTGCATCAGCATGTGATTTAAATCTCAACAAACAGCAAAAGGAAAAGTGGTTAGTTCGTTTGCCTTACAGCAGGAAGATCAGTGATTTAAACCCTGTATATGTATATATATATATATACATACATACATATACTGTATATATATACACATCCATGCATATATATATGTATATATAGTGTGTAGTAGTGACCAAGCACCGTAAGGATTAAATCATACTGTATATATCGTGCCAAACATCTACATGCATTAATCAGTACCCTAACACGTAATGTATGTATTAGGTATATTCAGTTTAAATGAATAAATATATAAGATTTTCAATTTAGGTTTACCCAGGTCAAGTGAATAGAAGCAAGCCAAAAAAAGTGTGGACATCCCTGGATTACTTTAATGTGACCAAATAAGTGTGCAAATGTTTGGTCTCCTTGCTTGATGACTGCAAATATCTTGCAGCACATTTTAAAAAAAAATTGCTGCTACAATTTCCAGAAAAGCTAGTACTCTCTATGATTACATATAAAGAATAAATTTTAGGACTAAAATTTGACTCATGTTTGCAAATAAAAAAAAAAGTTCTATTGTCCTTTCTAATACTTCTAAGGGTCAAAGGTCAGACACTTTTAATAGCGGTTTCTGACCTTAACTCATTCTTGTTTGCCAAGAACAAACCTTGAAAAACTTGATGGACTTTCCTCTTAGACCCAGTGTTGATGAATAAACATTGTTAAACCTGTTTGTCAGCATGACATCAACTACTAAAATTACTCATAATAAACAAAGAAAATAAAAACCTTATATTTTCCCTTTTTACTGTTAAGATAAGTCAATCACAAATTTTGCATATACTGTATATACTCACTTTTTTCTGCGCTGTGTAATTATTTTTTAATTCACGATAAAGTCGATTCTGATGTCTCAGCCTGAATTCAAAACCTCATCTATGTCGAGACTGTCAATGAAATCAGTTTGAGGCCCCCTGTGCCACACGGGGGTCTTGGGCCGAGTCTCCTAGTCAGTCATAAATATGCAGAATGTGTTGTGAAGGTGTGGTGAGGCCCGGGACCATCAGTATTAACTGAACGAGAGCAGCTCTTTTTGGACAGTGTCTTTCTCTCCTTCCAATTGTGCCGAGTCAGACACACTAAAATCCTCGACAGACACCAGCTGAGACCTTAGGGAAAGTTTGTGCTCAACGTTTACTGGAAGAAGAAGAAAAAGAAGAAGACGACAAAAAAGGACAAAGGGGAAGACAAAAAAGAGTAAGTGTGACTCTGGATTGAAGGTTATCTACAGATCCGTGAATATTAGTTATTAATAAAGTTTTTCTGGCTAGTTCCAGGCTAAGGTGATTTATATTAAATCTATATTTTTCACCTGGAGTGAGATATTTTTTAAAGAATACACTCCTAAAACAACAACAATAATCACAAGCTGAAATAAACGCACATTTTCACAGGCCAAAATTAGGTTTTAAAACTTCAGAATTGGTTGGATTTAGAATGCTGTGCGAAATATTATAAATAAAATGTACAAGAATTAAACGTAACTTTCAAAGATAATTTGGCACATTTGATGTCTGCCGCCATCTAGTGGCATCAACAGAAATTGCAGTCGATTAATTGTAAAGCACGAAACGCCATCAATCTTTGGCCCAGAGGCAATGTCTCTGTCTCCATGGTTCACCTCCTGGGCGCCTACCCGTGGGCTCACCACCCACAGGAAGCTGCCCGAGGGGCTGGTTTGGTGCAGGGTCAGGGAGACTGCTGCCCCTGATAACGGATAAGCTGGAACCTCTGCAGACCTTTGTTGAAGACCTCTGCCATAGAAATAACCGTAAAGACCTATTAATGGTCACAAGTGTTTGACTCTAATGAACCAACAAGTGGAGTCTGAGACCATGCTGAAAGCCTTTTAAAATAACTGCACTTGTAGAAATATCTGTGGGATCAGCCGATTGCACTCATTGAATTGATCGACGCAGAAACAATTCAAGCGGAAAAGTGTTTTGCAGACAGGAAACTCACTGAAGTGAATGTCATTATTTGTGGTCCGCAGAGCAACAGACAAGTGATACAATTACAGCAATAATTACTCAATTAGACGGAAAGTGAACATGTACTTATGTCCAGGATATGACATGTGGTTTTATGTTATTGTCCTGCCCAGCATCTGCCTATTAAGTGATGCTAATGTAATCATCCTGTTAGCAGCACGGTGCTGTGAGGACACAGTATCAGTCACAAACAATGGCTGTTGGGAATGGGTGGCTAACAGTACAGTAGGTGTAGGTCATTAGCGTGTTAGCCCGGGCTAGTTAGCGTCAAACCACATCAAAAACAACTTAACGGACTTGTACTTTTCTCTCATATTCTATCCATTCTAATCCTAAACTTAATGACAGACAACTACACTCTTGTGTAGTGTGTTTTCAATTGTGTTTCAAGTGTTTCTAACTACCCTCACGTATTTAAAAAAAAAAAAAAAACAGCGTTGAAATATGCTGTATATTTACTCCAATAAATGTCAGTAGGATAGTTAGATAGATATTATTCTTGCCTGAAAATTTAGTCACTTGCTGAATAACATTTTTTTAAAAAAGTTTGGAAACGCTTTCACACCAGTTCACTTTTACAGACATTCCTGACTCGTTTGGCAGTTATTTGACAGTCCCAATAAATCATACAGTCACAATACATCGTGTTCAATTTAGACGACGTCAGTACTTTAGCTGAGAAGGGACTGTAATACCGAGAGTATGATGGTGAGAGTTCACCTCACCTAAACTCACCTCAGCTGTCCTGTGTCCTGATGACACACCTGTGGTGGAAGCATTATCATCATCGTCGTCGTCATCATCGTCGTCATCGTCGTCAGTAGCGGCAAAGTTGCCAGGTTTTTGCAGGTCAGGTTTGAGTGCATGTGTGACAGTGTTGTCAACTCTCATCCGCACTTTACCTGTGGTTAAAATGGTGCAAAGTGAGGAAACAGACAGCCTGGTACGGTAAACAAACAAACCCACAACCTCGTGGTGAGCTCCTTCCTGCAGCTTTGACTGTGTTTGTTTCCCAACTGACCACAGACTCACAAGATGCCGCTGAACGCAGGAGACCCCGGCTACGGCAGCGTGTCAGGCCCCAGCTTCCCAGCCCCGGGGGGCGGACCAGTGTCCGAGACTGCGCCGCTGCTCATCCCGGAGCCCGAGCCGGAACCGGTGGAGCAGTGGCAGCCGCTGACCAAGGAGCAGCTGGAGATGGCAGCAGGAGGTCCGTGGTGGAGGAGGATGCGCTGTTACCTGGTGCTGGTGTTCTGGTTGGGCTGGGTGGCCATGCTGGCCATCGCCGTGGCCATCGTCGTGATTAGCCCCAGGCCCGTGGTGACCCCGTTAAAGTGGTGGCAGAAGACCCTGTTCTTCGAGCTGCAGCCCACCACCTTCATGGAGGCGAAGGGTGGAGCAGAGGGAATAAATGGTGAGGAGTAGATGAAGTGGTGAAGCGTTCAGACTTGGGAAAAACAAATATGTTGCTCTTGGAAAAAAAAAAAGATTTACGTGATTATAGTTAATAAAATTGCCAAATATGAGCATTTGATTTTTTTTCTAATGATGGATTGAAGGGATCCTGGGGAATTCAACCTCCAACAAAGTCAATAAAAAAACATTTTATTTTATTTAAATTTATAGATCCGAGAAATCGGAACAATACATTTTATATTATATATTAATAATCATTTAGCCTGTAAAACGTCCTTGTGTGAATGATTTAAAATAATTTAATATGATTTATTGGGTAGAAAATGCATTTTACAGTTTATTTGTATTTTTTATTTTTCTAGCTCTTTTTTCATTACGTTATGTTTTTACTAACTAACATTAACGCGTTTTGAAAAAAGCGTTAATGTTAGTGAGTTGATCACCACTAGATGCTGCTAAATAACTAAAAATATATACAGCATGTATTGAGTTTTTTTTATTATGATTTTTGTAATTGACCAAGAATGTTGAGGAAACAACAGCTATGTTTTGACTTGACTACTATCTGTTGTCTTTGGATTTCTCCCCAGCTCTGTGTGAGCAGCTTCCCTTCCTCAGTTCCCTGGGTATCGGTGCATTAATCCTACAAGGCCTTTTCAGCAAAGATGCATCTGCTTCAAATCTCACCGCAGCTGGACGAGGCTCGGATACGTGGCCTCAAATCCAACATCTACTCACTGAGAGCAACAAAGCTGGTGAGTCCAAGAGTTTCTGCTGCTGTGTGGGTTCGTGGCTTTCTTTTTTCTCCTGCATCATTTAATGATTTACGGCTCATTTTACTGGTGTTTACAGGTCTCAAAGTGGTCTTGGACTTGTGTGGTCTGGATCCAGATGACGCAAAGATGCAGCCAATAAATGCAACAAACGGAGATCAGGTGAAACTTACTCTCTTCTCGCATTACCCTGACATAAACTCAAGATTCTTAATGTTTTTTTGTTGACTTTTTTTTGTCCCTACAGAAATCATTAAGATTCTGGTTGGAGCAGGGTGTAGCAGGGTTTGTCATCTGTGACACAGATGCAGCGTATTCAGAAAAGGTACCAAAATGTGCGTTTAAAAAAAATTTAAAAAAAAAAAAGTTCTTTAAACCTATCTTTTTAAACATAATATTCATGTATTTCAGGTTCTTTTGGAGTGGAGAGGTGCCTTCACTGAATTCAGCAGTAAAGAGGAAGAGGAGGAGAGGTATTTCATTTAGGTGTAGTTTATTCTATTTGATTATATATATATATATTTTTTACAGTAGTTGCATTAAAGTGTCGTGTTTATTGTCAGGATTCTAGTGGTCAAACAAACTCAGCGCGTTCTGCCTCCTCTGGACACTGCGGGTCAGTCCAACCAAACACTGGTGGATGTGGTCATGAAGTCAATCCTCCCTCCATCTCAGCATCTCCTGTCTGTGCAGGAAGTGGCGGTTGCTATAGAGACGCACCTGCAACCACGAGATGAGAAGATGTGGCCGAGCTGGACGGTGAGCCAGTTTGATTAGCATGACTAGCCCTTTAAATCGTACTTTAACAATTATAGGTAGCACAGATGGGAGTGTGAGTAAATCTACATCTGCGGCCCAACTGTCTAGGGTGTACCCCACCTGGGCTGAATGATTGACCAGCAACTCATATATAGGTTGGGAGTTAGAAAATGAAGCCACCACGTTCCCCTGCATGCCTGAACAGGATAGTAACATAAATTGACCAATAGGTGGTGCTAAATCTCACTCATTATACATTTTATTTTCACTAAAATCTAAAATCGACCCTTTTAGACATCAGTGGTAAATATGAATAACCTTGACTATTAGTAGGCTGCAGATAATTGTGTTATTTTAGAAGAATTAAACACATTTCTTGATGTTCCACAGGTTGGAGGTGAAAGTCCACACTATTTGAAGAAACTGCTCTTGCTGCTGACAATGACCCTGCCCGGTACACCTGCACTGCGGTATGATGAAATCCTTGACCAGATACAGGTGCATTCCCACTGACATCTCAGCTAGTCCAGCTCCAACATTTAGCTGTTGATTAAACCTGAGTTTGTAATTTGAGAGTTTTCGGTTTTCAGGGCACAGAGAAGGAGAGAAGATCAGCTGTGGCTTTCTTCACCTCTCTCAGTCGCTCCAGAGCCAGAGAGGAAGCTCTGATGTACGGCAGCTTCACTTTCCTCCCCTTTAACACCACCAACACCAACTCCTCCTCCACCAACTCCACTCTTGCCTCTTCTCCGTCACCCCCCACCACCCTGGCCTTCCTGCGCTCCTGGGGCTGCGTCCACTTCCTCGTTCTGCTCAACATCGGCCCCGAGCCTCACGCCCTGGATCCTGCCTGGGCTCAGAGTTTACCTGAAGCTGGTGTGTTTGTGACCAGTACTGGACTAGAGCGCCTGGGCTCCACGTCTCTGTACTCCCTGGTGCTGCAGCCACACGAAGCTATCGTCATTAAACTGTTTGAGCCGGGGAGCTACTCTTAAACTTTGTGTGATTAAAACTATCTCATTCAGCACATTTTATTTCAGGTTGTGCTTCATTAATAGAAAATAAAGAAATGAACAGTGTGTGTGGTTTTTAATTTGCTGATGAGGGAAAAATGTCTCCAATTGAATTTGAAGTGTGGTGAAAACTATTCATTAAATATGTAGTGTGCAAACCAGGGTGGTCTAACGTTTTTGGACTGTCTTCTGGACTATATTAAAAAAAATAATTAAAATACATTGTATAATTGTATCAGATACAAATTACATTTTAATACATTTATGGTAAAAATTTATGGTATTTTTTTCTGTCTTTTTAACTGACTAGTTCCAGAAAATCAATGTCAATAGATATTTAAATTAAAAAACAGGAATATTAATAATATTCTACTGTTTGTCAGTAGTCAGTGTTAAATATGAATAAAATCATTTTTTAACTTTTTTTTAAATGAACAAGAATTAAAATGTTCTGCTTCACATCTCAAATTGAAAAAAAAAACCCTCATATTTGTAAATGGTGGACATGTAAAAAATTAAGTAGATTTAAAATTGTTAAAAATGTGTTGTCGCACCTGATTACAGGTTGCAGCACTGGAGGTCGTACATTACTGAAAGAAAACAAAAACATAATTAAACACAGAGCAAAAAGTGGAGACAATGTTTTTTGTTTAATATTTTTTGTACATTAATGAAATGTGTATCATACGTTATTTTCAAAAATGTATATGGTATGTACAACATGTGCAAGTGGAGAGTGTCTCGTTAATGCCGTCTGGTACGTGAATGAGCATGGAAAACGCCAACAGGTGACGCGTCAACACTCGGATCACCTCGTCTGCGATTCCTTTTTAGCTCACTGGAGGAAGCGCTCAATCACGACGATGCACGGCGTCACAGCATTTAAATAATGTACATTTGAATGCAGTTACAGCATTGGTCACAACAACAACAACAACAACAACGACGACGACGACAGACATTCTCACAGTGCATTTTGCAGCAGCATTTTGTTTTCTTCAAAAGCGAAAAGCTGATAAACGAACATTCACAGACAATCATCTTAGGTAGCTTAGAATTAGTGAGGTGGACTTTTACTTTCATGCAATGTTATGATACTGAAGGACAGACATGGACGGGAAATGTAAGAGTTTTCAGCCTCTTTGTACAAATCAAGGCAAAGAAATGTGGCCAAATTTCTCTCTTTTTTAAATTATCTAATCAATTTAAACGCAAGAAAATACCAGTGAATTTGAATCACTAAAATTGTTCTGCAGGGCAAATAGAAGACCAAAAAATGAAAAAGAAAAAAAAAAGGCGCTTGGATAATTAAACAGCTCATTAAAAGCATTAAGTCAACATTGAGTTAAATTTAACTTTTTTTGTTTTCACCAACGATAACAAAGTCGACGTGTAACGCAGGACTCTTAGACTCTAGTCTTGTTTTTTTTCCATTCTCAAAGTATATTTAAATATCTCTGAAACTAATCTAAATACTTTATATTTTAAACTTTGAATTTGTAAAATTAAAAATAATAAATAAAGTAACACGTATGTCGTTGTGGAGGCAGTCACATACTGTACCTCTGTTGACTTTGGAAAAGAAAAACTGTTGTTTGTCCGAAGATTTGTTTAACATATACTGTAGGTGCTGGGTTTTTTTTTTTCATTTAAAACTAGACTCGGGGATGGACAAAGAAAGTGTCTCTTAAAAAATCACATAAAAAAATATTGATCAAAAATCACATAACGAGTGCAGCGGTCAAGGTAACGTTGCAGCTAATTCTCTCCTGGATAAGTTAACTGTGACGTTCGTGGCCTGGAATTAAATTAAGCGGACAGGAAACGTCAATACGCTACTATTATTGTTCTTGGTTTTCACATGAAATTGACGTGGTTATAATTAAGTTTCTTAAAGATATCTTTTTAGCACCATCTTTCTTCAAACGCACACATCACCTTGGTGGATGACCTCATACTGAAACACCAACACTGAGGAGCCTGGGCTGTAATTTCATGTTGACTGCTGCAACATTGCCCTGGTAAAGAGCATGAGAATGATGTTAGCGCTGTGGAGTAACAAAAAAAATAACTCCGGCAGATAAGAGACTTGACTCTCGTCATGTTCTCTTGGCTACATTTAAACCTTTTTTTTCAGCAATTCTTACTCTCACGCCTGCAGAGCCTTTAAGATCTGGCAACCACACACTCGTCAGTGAACATGTTATCAGCTCTGATGTAATCTTCGTGGTGGGGGCGTCCCTCTTGTTCAAAGATGCTGCAGCTGTGACAGTGTATGTGCAAAAAAGTTTACCCATAATTCCACAGTGCCTTCACTCTGTTTATGAGTCTGATGCCAGTAAGACCAGTAACCATCCACGGGAACAGTTCTGATCTAGTGCAATATCCTCCTCGTGTTCATTGAGAATGACCAAAAAAAAAAGGAAACTTTCCCTCCTCTGGTTTTTGTCCTTCCTCCCTGACTTCCCATCACACAGGTAAACTGGAGTACGGAGACTGTGAAGCTGTGACGTCCGGGCAGCTGTGGGGTTTGTGATTTTCCAGGGGTAAAGACAGAGCGCAGTGTGCGGTGGTCTTCACGGCGCCTTTACTGAAGGAGCAGCTCAGCAGAGTGCACAGGTGACGGAACACCGACTTGCGGAAGATGATGAAGACCCACGGGTCAACTATGGGGTTGAGGGCGTAGAAGCGGAAGGCCGTCAGGTTCGCCGTGTCGCCGGAAAATGGGTGAATGGCGTTGATGAAGCCGGCGATCTGTGGACAGAGAAAGTTGAAGTGGGTCGTTACTACTTGGTTACTAACAAAACAATGGAAAACAACCGGAGCCAGTGATCCTCTGCCCGTCAGCTGCTGTTCATGACGGGCACAGGGAGAATTCTTCCATTCGTCTGTGGTCACTTTACTATATTAACGGTCACAGGAGCAGAGAATCCCCAACAGACACTGAGGGTGGATGGTAATTCACATCCCGGAGGCTAACAGTCAATAGCATCGATTCATGAACCTCCGTTCACTCATAGGTCAATTCAATCAGGATATAATTTTTCACAATCACATTCATAACTTCAGAGCTAATGCTACAGCAAGTCGAAACGCAGCAATTTTAAATCTATTTGGCTTATTTGACATATTTGTACACCTATTACACAGTAAAAAAAATTATTTTAATTTATTAATTCATTGTATTAAGTATGTGCAGTTTCATGGCCAGTGCTGTTGTTCGTGGATCTCATTCGAGTGCACTTTTCCACATCGGAGGTTGGAAATTTTGAACGCATCCAGATTTCTGGAACCCACTATCAGGCCCAATCAGTTTGATTTGCATGACTGGCCCTTTAAATGGTCCTTTAATGATTATAGGTAGCACACAGTCATGTTTCGAAAGAATTTTACCTCCCAAGTCTGCACTAGTCCAACATGGTTAGTTGGCTCTAGACTGCACGCTTTTGGGCATGAAAAACCCAGGCAGAACAAACACTTGACTAATTTGAATGAATTCCTAAAACTGTCACAAATATAAATATATAATATATCATAACAATTAGACCTGAGCGTGATGTGTGAACTCCAGACAACAACCGGTGAGAAAACCAAATGTGACCTCTGCTTTTAACCCATCACCACAGTCAGCAGGGGGCAGCTTTAAGAGCCCAGGGAGCAGTGGGTGGGGACGGTGCCATGCTCAGAGCACCTCAGTGGCAGCTGGTGGACTCAAACCTGAAACCTTTTGGACCCAAGTCCTCAACCACCAATCCACCCCTGCCCCAAACAAACATCCCCTTCCTCTCTGCAGATATTTAGATACGGAAGGCCGTGACAAAAGACACAACAGCAGCAACCGCAGCATCACGAGACCTTCATGTCACTTCTCTCTTCTTTTCCGCCAAAACATTCTCTAACTGCTTCATGAAATTAGAGAATGCTTAAATGAGGCCTTTTGCCACCACTGTAAATGTTTGTCAGGTTGCTAGGCCGAAGGAAGAACACGAACAGGCCTCGGAGACAGTGAGGATGAACAGAGGGAGCAGACGCACGGCCACATCCTCCTCGTGACTCGCGACGGGCTGAGAACTCAAACGGATGTGGTCACGCTCAATTTCAGCCATAAAGTCATTCGGCTGAACCCACCCAAAAACAAAACAAAAAAACAGCAATCATCCCGTGATGCCTTACTAGCGTTGAGCTCATGTTAAAGCCCCGGCCTGTGTCATGTTAGGTGTGTAGGAAGTGGAAGACAACAACCTCCAGATGTTCATGACAGTTTTGGGAAGTAGTCACGTTACTTGAGGTTAGATTAAATTTTCTCAAATTGCACAATGAGGGATGTTGGAATCACTGCATGTTTTTTCACCACCGTTGGCTCGTCATCTGCTCAAATACTGAACTGACAGACATGTACTGTACACGCGCTCCGTCATCCAGCAGTCATGACCAAAATATGGCTCCGGGGTCAATTTATGGCACGAGAACAAAGTCTTCATGTCTTAGCAATGAATAATCAAGGTTTTTTTTGTTTTGTTTTGTTTTTTTTTTTGTAATTTTGTGATGTTCTGCCAAGAGCTAACATTGTTCATTCTAAGTCTATGAAGAATTAATAAATACACACAACTAAAAACCCTTGGAATGAAACCAGGCAGGTGATAAGGAATTATCTAAGCCTAACTCAAATTAATTAGTCCAGTGAAGTCAAGCTTTTTTTTTCCAAAAAAAAAAAGAAAAAAAGTAAACATATCATCTCACCGAGACACCCATCACACTAATGAACCAAATCCCTGTCACCTTCAGTGCTGCGGGTGTTTTATCTACATGATAACAAAGGACTCCTGTCACCTCCACATCTGAGGTCAATCTGAATCAAATCAACTCCTCACCCGGTGCCGGACGGGAGGAGCTGAATAAATAGAGGAAAGTGAAACAGATGACACACACACACGCACTGTTTGTGTGTTTCGTGATGATAAACATAAACATTTCCTGGCCTCTAACCCTAATATTAACCAGAAATACATAAATACTTAATCGTAAACCGAACAAAGACATGAACCCTAAAACGCCCTTTGACTCAATGGGAACCTACAGAGTGTCCCCACAAGTACACACACACACACACACACACACACACACGCACAGTATACATATATGATCCACCACTGATTTACTCTGGCAGGTTTTAAAACATAGTCCTAAAAATACACAAAATATCATTACAAGTACTATGCAGCGGGATCACTGCCCGACTCGATGGAACCTCTTTGTCAGCGCCGCGCTCATCTGCGCAATGTCGGAGTTAAGGAACAATTTGGGCTGGAAAGGCTTTGGCAAGGTATGTTCTCGCTGCTAGGAAACGTCTGTAGCGAAGTCCAGAAATAATGTAAACACAGTCCTTTAACTTCACCACCTGTAACTCGACCCTAAAACAGATCTTCTGGTCTTCTAGGAGCCTGTGGAAAGCGCAGCACGTTGAACTTTTACCTTTATTTATGGAAGAATTACATCGACCCATCAACACCGAAGCGACGGGAGCAGAATGTTTGTAGCTCTCGTGTCTTTGTCCTAAACAGTGACAGACGCGCTCACTGCAAACACGAACGGATGGTGTGAGGCCACCTTTCCTTCTCTTTTCCGTCTGATGTTGACACGTGTTTATTTCCATTAGAATCCCTTCAAGAATTCCAGCCAATGTCAATGCTAAAAGTGCAACCGCGGACTGTCTTGTTTGCTCAGCGACTCGGCTAAAAAGACAATGGAATCCCATCTCTTTTCCTTTTTTTTTTTAGATGTGATTCGCCGGCGCCTGATGATTAACCTCTTGTCATTAACCTTTAAAAAATGTTTTACCTAATAACGTATTAATTGAAGAAACAAAAATGTCTGCCTCCTTCCATCTGGAAGTCATTCTTCTGGCCTTAATGTGTTTTTATTGACTCTTATACGAGTGTTAAGCAGTAGGGGATGTAGCAGGAACTGTGGCTCATAAACTAGTGAAAAGAGAGTGAAATCACTTTGTGATGTAACGTTGTTTTTGACAGAAGCACGGAATCCCGACCTATCGCAGGAATAAGCAGATGTCATTCGTTTATATCCCACTGTGTCCTGCGGATTTCTAAAAAACGCTCCCCTCTGGAAACAAATGGCGTTGACCGCAAAGCAGTGAGCTCATCTTTCCACAAGTTCGTCACGTGACAACGGCCTGTGTGTCCCACAAACACTTGTGTAACCATTTCCATTACATTAACAAATAAGGCAGATCGATTAGTGCTGCAGCTTCACATGATATCTGAGCCCGGGCTACGATACGATACCTTAGATCAAGACTCTTTAAATTCAATCAAATATTTTTCTGTAAAGTTGCACTCACACTTGGGCCAGTTGTTCCATACATCACTCCCAAAGGCAAGCGGGCTGAAGCTCTGCTGCGCCCGACACCTTCTGTACACTTTCGCTCACCCTAGCCATAGAATTCGGACTTTAGGGTACGGTCCCTAACCATTTTTAATGGACCGGTAATACTGCGCCATCATTGGAGGATCATTAAATTTTAAAAATAAAACATCTCTTAGACTTCATTCTGTTAGTATTAGAGTCTGAATGAGCTTTTATTTTGAAACATTGCCAGATTATCTTTTAATGAAAAAGTAAAGGAGTGACTGGATTCTTTCGGAATGAAGTAAATTAGTGCCCCACTGCGGCCCGGTACCAAATGAACTACTGACTGGCACAGGTCCCCCAGACCAGGGGTTGGGGATTCCTGCTTTAGGAAGCAAATATCCTTGGAGTTTTACGTATTGTGAATATTTTAATTGAAATTTCAATACTATCTTTGACTTTGTGGCGCTTTGGCCCAGAGTCAATGTCTCTGTCATTGGTGTGAAACCCCAGGGTTCACCTTCTGGGCAAGATCGAATCTTGCAATTGGTACCTTCCAGTGGTCTCACCACCCTCAGGAAGGTTCAGGGGGGTTGGTACGGTGCAGGGTGATTTGGGTGGCGGTTGTGGAGACTGCTGCCCCTGCGACCTGGTAACAGATAAGCGGATGAACATGGATGGATCTTTGACTTTCATCTAGGGCAGATGTGGTCAAACTTTTTTGACTCGTGGGCCACAATTGGTCCTAAAATTGAACAGGGTGGGCCGGGTCAGGAGCAGATAGATGGAGCGTTCGTGTGAACTAAAATAAATGACATGTAAAAGTCATACATAAGGGCTAAAAAATGCTAAAGTGCTTTTATCATTTTCTACACCATCTATTGGGGAAACGTGGGTATTGCAGGTCAAAAGGCAGAAGTACAATGATAATTATATAATTTGGTTTACGGTATGGTTGGTGTAAGTTTGGCGGGCCGGATTAAACAGCTGAACGGGCCGCATCCGACCCCCGGGCCTTAGTTTGCCCATGCCTGATCTAGGGCCTACCATAACAATAGTTTAGTATTTTTTGGGGCCTATGGATTTATAGGGCATCTTGGAAATGCCATAGTCCCTCCCCTCCTCTTACAACGCCACAACTTTTTATGTTTCATCAGACATTCTTGTTTCATACCATTTGTTTCACTTAACTAACTACTGTTTATCAAAACTCGAGATTAAATTTGGACAATCTGAATCTCATCTAGAGTACAGGCCTTACAGTCTTACAGCTGTAAGAACATATCCAGCTCACTATCTTTACATTAGCCCAACTGTATACGGCTTAAATACCGTTTTAAAAATTCCAAGAACGTTCCGGCCACGCTCGCCTTTAACTGCCTTGCACT